TGTTCTTTCTTTATATATATATATATATATATATATATATATAATACCAATTTGTAATTTGGTAGGAATTATTCCAAAGTGGACTTTAATCCAATGAGAGCTCAATGTAAGTTACAGAGCAATGTATAATGATAAATTAAAAAAATACCTTAAAAATCCATGTCGTTTAATTTATTTCATGAATATTATTATATTCATCTCTTCACACTGAATATTTTTATGAAATAAATTTTTTTAAAAATAAAAGTTTTCGTACCTGTCTATATTTTTGAGATGAACTATTATGTACACTATTTACATTATTCATATTATTGTTCTCATCTTTGTCGTCATACTTATCACAACGTTTCGGCCGTTGTACTCTCCGGCCTTCTTCAGGTTGTTGGAATGTCGAAATGAATCCTTTATTTCGGTCACTATTTCACTATACTGTTCTAGTTCCACGTGTCATGTCTAATGGATGTCAGTTATCAGTTATCTCCTGTTAATTCCTCTCTCCAAGTTCTCCACCGCCTTAACCGGGTATTGAACTCACACTCTTTGGGTCCTGTCATTGGATCTAACTAACGACTTCATCTACTGCGCCATTTGTCCTTGAGAACATCTGCGTATAAATTTCTGGGTATTATAAACCTAATGTCTTCAGCAAGCATTTTTACCAGTACTCATATTGCAATTTTTACTGTTATCATTGCATTTTTTACCTGAGCTCATATTGCAATTTTTGTCGTTATTATCGCTTTTCTCTGGCACTCCTTATTAGTGGTTCCCATAATGTATTCATTTCTATGCTTGGTCGGCTCAGGAAAGGATATGAATTTTGAAGGTGTTTTATTATTTTATCATTATATATTATATGTATGTGTGTATAATATTTATATTTAAACGAAAGTTCATTTAATATATATATGTGTGTGTATATATATATTTATATATCCTATCTTCTTTATATTGAGCAGTATTCTCCTTGGCCTATGTATACGAGTATCGGGACCCCACCTTAAACTGACCCCCTGTCAATCCTGTTTCTGTGAGAAGGTGAGTAAATAGTGGGTCGGGTCACCTTTACTCGGCCTACGAGGTGGGACCAAAATGTAGTATCTGTAATTAACCTGTCTAAACTATGAGGCAAGCCCGATCTTTGGAATTACAGCCATGCAGCCACTCAATCCTTATTTCTCTGAAAAGGGAGGGTTGATGAATATTAATGCCAGCATGGAGAATGAGCAGTTTTGGTCTTTGGTCCATATGTTCGGGTGTGGCCAATCCAGTGATAAAGTGACTGTATGTTACGTTTTACGTTTGTGACTAGTGTATGGTAAATAGTTGCATGGAATGTGGTAATGTGAAAGTAAAATAGAACATGCTGCTTGTGGAAGAATTTCCCATTCAAGGTACTTGGTCATTTGTTGAGTCGCCTTTGCAACATGAAGATTATCACTGGCATAGGTTGAGTGTGTAGCATCCGGTGGCATCCCTTGACTTTGCCGTCTCTGCCCTTCCCTCCACACAAAAAATACATATTCACAATGACTTCCAATATATATATATATATATATATATATATATATATATATGGAGAGAGAGAGAGAGAGAGAGAGAGAGAGAGAGGGAGATAAAGTATTAACTGGCCCAAAAGACGAAAAATATAGCAAGACACAGGCTCAAAGGAACTTCTGTCCATAAAAATAACTGAAATTCATGATAACAACCAAGATGTGTCACCCAAGCATAGCAGTGTTGCAGCATTAAAAAACACACTCTGGGTTTGTTCACAGCATTCACTGTCAATGATGATAAAACAGCTGTGAATACATCACTGGATAATGTTTATTGATCAGCCAAGATAACAATCACTTAAATACATATGCTATTGTTTACGTTACTCGAAATCGAAAAGGCGTTTCAACTGTGAGTCGGGTCTCGACATTAAAACTACTTTTATTTCAATACACACTATATAAGCTTATACAGCCGACCCACAAAAAGTTACCCCTATAAAAATGTTGCCCGGGGCGGACTGTTACTGATTATTATCTTCTATTTTTTTTAAGTAGTAAATGTAATATTGTCAGCCATTATAAAAAAAAAAAAAATAAAAATAAAAAATTTACAGATTTCTTTAGCACTAAGCATATATATATATATATATATATATATATATATATATATATATATATATATATATATATATATATATTGGTAGTATAATGGTGAGTATCCCCCGCTGTCACGCGGGGTTCAATTTACCCACCGGGGGCATTTAAACTGTTGGGCACCTCGAGGTTAGCAAGCTTGTTTCGCTAGAACAATTACGACTGAGTAGTGAGTTCGATTCTCACAGGGTGCCCACTACTTTCGGCCTTATATATAAATATATATATATATATATATATATATATATATATATATATATATATATCCAACGTGAAGTAATGGATATTGGATTGAGAAATCGGAGAGCCGAGTTCGAATTCCAGTCGAATCTATTATATGGATTACGTGCTAATACCCTTGAGAAAGGTATGAATCCTCTTCTTCTCCCTCCAGCATAGGAGAAGGACAACCCTGAATTCAAAATCTTCGGTGGGTCGTTTGGGGACCTTCCCTGTATTCGCCTTTTCTGCACAAAACCTTTACCACTATTGTCAAATCACCTGTGCTGGTGTCTGGCTGCCGGTTCCCAGGAATGAGCTGTTTGACCATCATACATCGAATACAACGGGAGAATCGAACACACACACACACATATGATATATATATATATATATATATATATATATATATATATATATATATATATATATATATATATATATATATATATATATATATATATATATATATATATATATATATATATATATATATAAAGTCATCCACAGACAGACTGTTTCGCTGCTCTTCAGTGTGGGTAGACATCCAGTTGCCTCTAGCTAGCATCGAAACCCGACTGAATTGGTGTCAGTCGGAGATTCTACCACTAAGCCGTATTTATTTTTAGATAAACATACACAGTGACCGACAGTGACTCCATTCGCTTTTGCCGAAGAGTCTCGCTATATCATCCACAATAGTCACTGTTTACAAACCCACATCTCTTCCCCAGAGAGCTTAAATTAATTTTTTTTAGGAGCCAATATAAAGTCATCCACAGACATATATATATATATATATATATATATATATATATATATATATTTGGTTGGATAGATGTGAGTTTGTGACCCTGGGTTTCACGCTTTAGCGATCGTCAGACAAACTTTTCACATATATATATATATATATATATATATATATATATATATATTCGTAACACGTATGGGTCTTCGATTGCGGATCACTTTATAAAGAATCCCACTTGTGCGATGGATTTCAGTGTGAACTGGTTTTCCGTTTTGGCCAGTTCGCACTCATTATTCCATCTTAAGGTGTTGGAGACGCTTTACATCAGGTCCAGACAACCTACTCTTTGTAAACAAAGAGATTGTTTGCTTGGAATTGCTGTGCTGCGCTTCTAGCATCTTGGTTGGTATAATTTTTATATTTTTTTCTCTCCCTGTCCACTCATTCATGTCATCCATGACAGATTTTTTCTTTTTCTTTTCCTCATAATTTTAGTTCCCCGTTAACAGTTCTGATGAGAGGGGACGAAACCGGTCGAGTGGTGTGTGTTTTGTTTTAAATCTATCATGGCCTACAATATAAAATTTCTTGTTTTTAATGCCTTATATATATATATATATATATATATATATGTGTGTGTGTGTGTGTGTGTGTGTGTGTGTGTGTGTGTGTGTGTGTGTGTGTGTGTGATTGATACACGATACTGCAGCACGTAGCACCCCACCCCACATATTCCTGCGTTTGGATTTAAAAATATAGCGATACTTTAAATTTTACTACTTAAAACTCTTCTGATTTTATTCACCTTACTTTACTTGTACCCGCCACCCCTGATGGTGACTTATGATAGCTGAAAGCTTGGACACAAATTTCATTTTGCGCCTTTCGTGCGTCGGCAGAAGCCAGGTTTTCGGAAACCTTGCGTAATTTAAATGCAGAATGAAAAACATTAAATTTAATGCACACAGAATGTCTACACTTTTCAATAAGACATGTTAAAAACAGAAATTGCTGACTGATTACAATAATTATATATTAATAGATGCGCCAAATTCTTAGTTAAGGCGAAAAATAAAAACAACCTTTTCTTTTTTTTTTTTTTTTTTTTTTTTTTTTAAGCATTTCACCCCAAGCAGAGAGGGAGTGCCGCAAGCAGGCAAGTAGTTACAGAGAGTAGGGGCAAGAGTAAAGAGACGTGATTGAGGAAAGGATAAAGAGAAGGAGGGTGAATTAGATCAAAGCATTAGAAGATGTCGATTGACATGACATTTGAATATTTGAAGACTATAACAGCCAGGAATGCAACATGCATGACGAGAAACACCTTTCTCCGCATCTGGCAGAATAGGCTCCTCCCACGACTGAAGAATTTCAATCACAATCTTTATTTATGGACCGACTGATCCCCATGTAAGGTCCAGTGATGGGTGTTTTTATAAAATACCACCTCTTAAATGGTTGCCAACAAAGGCAGTCCTCCTATTTAACCCATAGCAGGGGAGGAAGTGATGAATTCATACTTTTCCCAACGTTATTTTTTGCGTAAGTGGATGTAAAGAAACTCGACTGGAATTCGAACTTGGCTCTCCGATTTCTTATTCCAAGGAGCTATCCATTACGTTTTCTGTGCAATAATATATATATATATATATATATATATATATATATATGGATGCTGAAAAATGTTCGATTCGACCAAATTCCGAATATATTGCAAAATGACTAAACATCATTTTTGATCGAGAATGAAGGGCCTCTTAGACGGGATGAAAAATTTCATCGCTCGTTCGTACAATGCCAGACTTTAATTCAGTGAAAACTTATAATTGCCCTTTCCATGAAAAGAACAACGAGTTTGGGGTGTTGGACCCCAGATGAAGTCGAGGTTCGGATTAGGAATACATTTAAAAATTGACTCGTATGGTTAAATCCAGCCCCACTTTCTCATCATCCTTGATTTTACACTTTACTGAACTTTCAATGGATTTCGTTCGCCTTCAGCGAAGATCCCTGTAAAACTCGACTCTCTCGTCTTTCTTTCTTCTTTTCTTACGCTAATTCCTTGTTATATTTTGCTTTCTTCTCCTCTCCGCTGTCTTGAGATTCCACATTGCTTCCGCTTAACTTCCTTACAGGCGCCCGAATCTAGTCTGACTTGTAAATTTCTGTTCTTTCTTCACATTAATCCATCCTAATATTCTTTTCGTCCTTTCCACCTTAATAATTTGTAAATAATTCTGTTGAGTGCAATGTACACTGCTCTAAAAACTAATCGACAAAATCATTCCATTTTAATTTCATTACATGCGCTTAATTTATCCAGTGTCTATCAGTCAGTTATATGCCATGCGTGATACACGCTTAGGCGATCATGTATCTTTCGATACATGACTGACGAGGCAGATTTTTTTTCCCGCGGTAGTTTGCCATTTCTTTCTGCGGTTGACTAATTGCCATCCAAAGCTATAGAACCTAGTCTGTCCTCCTATTCACCCATAGCTAGGGGTGGGGAGAAGAAGAGGATTCATACCTTTCCCAAGGGTATTAACACGTAATTAGAATGTAATTGATTCGACTGGAACTCGAACCTAACTCGAGCTGCTATCCAATATTCAACCGTGCCTCTTGATTGCTTAATTAATTATAAAAATGAAAAAGAAAATATTATTTTTTATTTGTTTTGCCAGAAGATGCTCAGTCAGTTATGTACCATGCGTGGTATACGCTTAGGCGATCATTTATCATTTGATACATGACTGACGAGACAGATTTTTTCCCGCGGTAGCTTGCCATTACTTTCTGTGGTAGACCAGTTGCCATCCAAGTTTATAGAATCTAGTCTGTCCTGTTATTTACCCATAGGTGGGGAGAGAAGAAGAGAATTCATACCTTTCCCAAGAGTATTAGCACGTAAGTGAATGTAATGGATTCGGCTGGAATTCGAACTCGGCTTTCTGATTCCTCAAACCGAGCCGCTATCCATTACTCCACCGTCTATCAAGTACCTGAATTCATCTAGTCGAAATACTATGGCATTCGCCTATCATCCGGTTCACGCACCCTCCCGGCCTTTTGAACAGGAGTAAAGGCTTATGGCTTGTTTCCTGTATAGGATTGGATTTCCGGTTCCTTCTAACGTCTACTTCAACTCTATACTCCTAACGTCTCCGCGTGAACTTTGAAATTTTATTCAGTAATTAAATATTGACCTTTTTTAAATCTACATTTAACTGTTATTTTTCCTGTATAGCCCAAAGAACTTCATTTCTTGTCCTTTCTTATTCTAATACAACAGTACACAGTAAGCCTCTATCTTGAATGGCTCGGGGGCCTTGTATTAGATGAACATTAGTAAAAAAATATATAAATAAATAATACCAACCTCACTATTTTAGCAAATATCCTCAAATCCAAGGTTTGAGATTAATGTCCTTCCGTCGTCCCTAAGAACGATAAAACACGAGTTATGGTTGACTGGTTGAATTTTTCAGGACGATACAAAATCGATACAAAATTTTTAAAACACAAGTTTAGGTTGACTAGTTGAATTTTTCAGGGCGATGTAGAATCGATACAAAATTTTTAATTCTATTGCATTTATTCTAAATGACCTAATTTCTTAAAATAATAAAAAAAAACTTACATCTCACCGATAGTGGCGGGCTTTTAATAAATGCAGCCCACACAAAATCAACACTATATAGTAATTACCGTTGTGTATTATTCGTTTATTTATATTTAGTGAACAGGAGTTGTTTTTTTTTATTAATTATATTTTTTTATTTTAATAATTTAAATACTAATTTACATATATATATACATATATAAAAAAAAACCTCTTACTCACTTTCTTTTATTAGGCACGTCCATGAACTTACCTGACATTTCCGCTAACCTGATAAATATTCATCCCTATAACAAAAATTTTGAAAATGACAATAACATTTTTGCTCTTATACTTGTCACAAAATAAATAAAATCCTTACGTTTGCCTTCATAAAATCTCTTAGAAGACGAAATGCGTCGGCTAAGATATTTTTTCCTTTTGTCTTTATTCATATTGACCTTTTACAGATATAATCTATCTGGAATGTTTACACACACGCACACACACACATACACATACACACACATACACACAGATGGATGCATGCATGTATACAGGGTGTGATGGATAAATTGTCGTCTAAATGGGCCACGTGACCTCGAGAACATTTAGCAATTTCTCTTATAAAATGATGAGACTTAGCTGACACATGGCTCAGTGGATAAAGACGTTGATTAGATCCATTGACTAGAGCCAAAGACGTGTGAGATCAAATAACTGAGACATCCGGAAGAGGCATGGCACGTGGAACTACAACAATCTACCCTGGTAGACGTAATAAAGGGTTTATTTCGAAATTTCAATCAACTGAAGAAGGCCGGAGCATACAACGGCCGGATCGTTGTGATTATGGCAATGAAGATGAGGATAAGTGTACGGATAATGTAAATAATGTAAGTAATCATAATACCTCATCTCAGGGATATAGGCAGAATTTCAAGTCTATTTCTGATATAAAATCCTGATTTTATATTTATTGTCCATCGTAATTGACATGAAAGAGGATTCCTGTTCTATTTTCATTACCAAAGAAATGAAACGCTTAAATTCATGATTTTTATTTTGTTGGATTGATAAATGAACGATATCTTTGTCGATGACATCAATAAAAAAATATTATCTAAAAACATACATGTTAATTTCTGGTTGGTCAGTTCAACGTTTCCACAATTATTTCCAGAAATAGAACATATTTAATAATGAAATTATGGTTCAAAATTCAAACTGTTGATAAAAAAAAATCAACGCTCGAAGAATTAGATCTTAAGGCATAGTCAAGATTCTCTCAACTCACCAACATCAATAATAGAAATGACCTATGGCAGTCATTCATTATTTTAAAAATTTATTTGTTACTTTTACTTATTATTGTTAAATCTTATTTGTATTCTTTTTATTTTGTTTTTTTTTAATTATGTATTTTTTAATAATGTTTTTAAAATTTTATTCAAATTATTTATTTATATAATTATTCCTTCGTTTCAGCCGCTTCATTCTCCGACCTTCCTAATATTGTCTAACTTGTTTTGTTTTTTACGGCTTATCGACTCTTTGCAGGTTATCTAAAGCCAGATTTTTTAGATTCTAAAACATTAGGCACGGTGGAGGGATCGGAGAGGCGAGTTCGAATTCCAGTCAAATCCATTACATTTACTTACGCGCTTATACCATTGGGAAAGGTACGAATCCTCTTCTTCTCCCCACAGCTATGAGTAAATAGCAGGATAGACCGGGTTCTATAGGCTTGGATGGTAACTGGTTTAGGAGAAGGACAATTCTGAATTCAAAACCTGCAGTGCGTCATTTGGGGACCTTGTGGTACGTAATGCACATTGTCTGTTTCGGCGCTTCAAAATATATATATATAGAAGAGCCGAGTTTGAATTCCATTCGAATCCATTACGTGCTAATACCCTCGGGAAAAGGTATGAATCCTTTTCTTCTCCCTCCAGTTATGGATAAATAGCACGACAGACCGGGTTCTATAGCCTTTGATGGCAATGCTCTACCGCAGAAAGAAATGGCAACCTACTGTGGGAAAAAAAATCTGCCTCGTCAGTCATGTATCGAAAGATACATGATCGCCTAAGCGTGTATCACGCATAGCACATAACTGACTGATACAAGTCCTGCCAACATTGACTAACGTACTGAGATGAACCAAGGATGAAGAAAAGGATAGGGGATAGATCAAGTCATCTGGAGACGTCGATTGACACTATATTTGAATAGTTGGAGATTATAGCTATCAGGGAAACAGTAAAAGGGGAGGGAGTTCCACGGGTGAGAGGTGCGAGACATGAAGCTATTGGAGTAGAAGAGACGGCTACATTTAACAGTTTCATCAGTGAAAAGGTGAGAGCGAGATGCCAGCCTAGTTGAACGCTTAAATTCATGATGTCTGGGAACCAGCGAAAGCAGCTCATTGGAGCAGTTACCGTGAAAGTATTTGTAGAAAAGACTGAGAGAAGCGACGGCACATCTGTGAGGGAGCGACTGCAGACGAGATGCCAGATCAGGGTCAATTACTTTGCATATCCGTCTCTGGATCTTATTAAGAACCTTGAGACAAACATAAGGCGCTCCAGACCATGTATGGCAGCAATACTCCATGCAAGAGCGAATGGTTGATTTTAGATTTCAAGGATTAACTCCGGCGAGAAAAAATTCCTGGTGCATAGTAGAATTAAAAACAATACATTTCATAGAAAAATGACCAACAATTTCATTCAAAATATATTTAGTTGAAACCATAAAATCGTGTTCAAAATATTTAGATTTTGGCATTAAATGACCCATAGAGAATGATATGCCGCTACACAAGATCAAACAAGAAACTATTTTCCTGACTCACAACTGGCCGCTCACCAAACAAATGTTGTCACAAAATTATGTTAACGTTGCGAAAGTTTTAGCGTCTTTTTTGCAGTAAAAAAAAAAATACCTTAATTTTGAAATTCTTAAAAAACCAAATAATTGTCGGATTTTAATGAAACTTTCTGGACTTAATCAGAAATGAATTACATTACTTGAGAAATGTTTCCTTTTTAGAAAATCTTGATAAAAACATTTTTTTACACCTGTTACTTCCAACCTATTTAATTTCATAAGTTTTTTTTTTAAGTATTGTTTTCATTTTTTAAAATTTTAATTAGAATAATTTGTAAAGTTTTATAACTTTTAAATTTCTGTGTATTAACGCCGAAATTGTACAGGTTAAGTCATATTGTTATTAAGTAAAACTATATTTACTAATAATAAATGAAAACGATGACTATAATTCATCGAGGCATCATATTTTTTAAAAGAATTTTGAAATTTTTTGTGTGTGTATAAATGTGCCGATTGTTGTAAATAAAAACGTCTATACATAATACTATCAGAAAATAAAAACGATAACTAGAGTAAATTTAAAACCAATGTAACTAAAATTCAGTAAAACATTAGGTTACGGAGAATATTTTCCTTAGTTTTTAAGATTATTGAG